AGCTTTTAAAATACATGCCCCCTTTCTGTGATAGACAACTTCTGAAGAGTGAATAACTTGGATAAAAAGAGGCAAAGGATCTTCCAGCTTGCTGCTGTTGTGTTTGGTGCAATTTTTTTTGTTGTTGCTGTACTTTAGGGTCAAGGACTATTTTGTTTTATTTATTTTGACCTTGGAAGTATAAAAAGAAGCATACAAAATAAGCCAAGTGGAAAATATAGCAAACATCGCTCTGCATGGTAAAGAGAACATGGAGTGGGGTTGGGGGTATGTGTGAACTTCACGAAGAGAGTTAAATAAAATCCTCTGAATATATAAATGGAAAAAGCAGATGAGAAAGTCAATTTATTTTTTAAATCAATGAAGAGATACAATAATTTTCCTTGCTTAACAATAAAATACTTATAATCTTTGTAGAATTTTAGAAATTAATGTAATAAATTTATACTTGTAAATACTTCACACAGGGTGAGATTCAAGGTATATCTGAATGATTTTAGATGACTTTCTTTGTTTTTTGAAAACTTTAACATCAGGTCCCAAATAGTTATTTTTCTATACTGTATGTGTGTATACATTTAGACCATGAGTGGATTTTTTTCCCTTGGGGGATGAAAATTCCTTATATTTGATAGAATCCCATATATTTGAGCCATCTTTGCACACATTTTCCAAATAGTGTTAGTATATATACACACAGTAGCAACCAGAAGTCAGCAGAGAGATTTCAATATCACTTAGGAATGGGATGGAAAACATAAAAAGCATAAAATCCATTTATATCTCTTCTCAATGATGAGCAAAAGTAGAAACTCAAGCTATTCTCACTGTCCCATTTTGAAACATTTTTCTCTATGACCTTCTGTGCTAGAGAATTTCTTCTCTAACAGTCATCAGTGCTAAAGTGAAACCCGACAGCAGAATTCATCAGTGGACTAGAAGGGTCAACTCTTGACACAGGCATTCCGTGTGACTGATTAAACAATGGACAAATCCTGCTGATCTCCTTGGGCCCTATATGGTCAAGGGAGGCTTTATTTTCACTCTTTGTTTCAGAGAAGCTGCATTATATACGGTGGCTCTTGCTTTCAATTTCTAGCAGCAGCCTATGCTCAGTATCAGAGCCAACTCTGCCCAATCTGACAGCATCTGAGCCCTACTTACACCTGGGTAGTGCAGACTTGAATAGATTTTTTTTAAGGTTTATATCCCTTTCATTAAGATGATGATGGCATGGGACTTTAATTTTTTATTTTTGGAGGAGGTGAGGAAAGTAAAGCAAATAAGAACTTCTTCTGTGTTGGCTATATTAAGAATGGGATGCATGAGGGACATGCAAATTTAAGACAGAGAGACAACAAGCCACAGGCCTAGAGCCCAATGATAGAGATCTGAATGAGTGATAATACATTTGAGAGGCATTTATACACATGTAGTGGTTGAGATCATAGACACAGATATGCAAGTTGAAGAGGCATACTAAATCAGCAAAAGAGACAGCCAAAGGAAGAGGTACTTTTAAGAGACAGGGAGAACAATAAAATAGTTGGCACACTGGAAAATCATGAGTCATAAGAAGAAATCATAAATCAATTTTACTTTTATGGGGCTAATATCCCTATCTGCCATCTGGATATAAAGTGAATCAATTGCATTGTCTGGACTTTCTTAGGTAATAGAAAGTCCTACAGTTACTTTATATTGCAAAGCACAGGTTCAACAAGATCAAAACTGAAGGCATTAAAACTTTTTATTTCAAAATATATTACAAAGCTATAGTAATCAAAGTGGTATGATACTGGCATAAAAACAGATATCTAGACCAATGGCACAGAATAGAGAACCCAGTAATAAATCCACACCTATCAGTGCATGGATCTTCAAAAAGAGTATTAGGAACACACAATGAGGAAAGGATAGCCTCTTCAACCAATGGTGCTGGCAAGACTGAATATTCACATGCAGAAGAATAAAATTGGACCCTTAAATCACCATATACAAAAATCAACTCAAAATGGATTAAAGATTCAAATGTAACATCAGAAACTAAAAAGACCTGAAGTAAACATAAGGGAAAAGCTTCCTGACAGTGGTCTGGTTAGTAATTTTGTGGTTATGACGCCAAAGCTCAGGCAAAAAAGTAAAAAGGTGAACTAAAACTCTTTTGAACAACAAAGGAAATAACCAACAGAGTGAAAAAAAAAAGGTGAACTAAAAAGCTTTTATTGCAGGCAGAGGAAATAATCAAGAGGGAAAAGACAACCCACAGAATGAGAAGAAATATTTTCAAAACTTCCATCTGATAAGGGGTTAATATCCAAAATATATAAGAAACTCCTAGAACTCAATAGCAAAACTAGAAATAACCTGATTTTAAAAAATGAGTAAAGAAAGTGAATAGGCATTTCTCCAAAGACATGCAAATGGCCAATAGGTCCATTAAAAGGTGTCCAACATCACCAGTCATCAGGGAAGTGCAAATAAAAACCACAGTGACATGTCACCTCACACCTGTCAGAATAGCTATTCTCAAAAAGACAAAAGTCAGGTGTTGGTAAGGAATTAGAGAAAAGGGAACCCTTGCACACTGTTGGTGGGAGTGTAAGTTGGTACAGCCACTTGGAAAACAGTGTAAAATTTCCTTTAAAAATTAAAAATAGGACTATCGTATGATTCCAGCAATCCCACTTGTGGGTATATATCCAAAGGAAATTAAATCAGGATCTTGAAGAGCTCTCTGCACTCCTATGTTCACTGCAGTATTATTCACAATAGCCAAGATAGGGAAACAACCTAAGTGACCACCAATGGATGAATGGATAAACAAAATGCGGTGTGTGAGTACTTCCTTATTTGACTCGATATAATTATGAGTCAACTAATAAGTAAAGACATATCATTCTATTTATATGAAAATTGTCATAAATCTTTTTACTCTGAACCCACATTTACTCTGGATCTTTTACTCTGTCGAACCTACCCAGCTTTTCAAACTTCAGCTCCATCTCCTAGACTCTAGCCTACACTCAATCCTTTTATTTTATTGAGTTCTGCTTTCTCGATTTTTAACCTAATAATATAGCCATCATTGTTGTTGTTTTTTATTATGTAGTTATGGCTCTTCTTATTCCTCATCAATTTAGGTTAACTTTTCAAGCCAGCTTTGAGCCCTGGGACTCTGATTCCAGTGTTAGCCAGTTCTACTGCAGAGCGATATGTGTAAGCAATTCTTGGTCCAGGATTAGACTGAGATGGGGAGTGGGTGGAGTAGATAAATGAGGGAAAAGCAGAATAGGGTAAAGTTCAGCCTGAGTTTTAAAGTATTGAAGGGGAAAGGAAGTGGTATAATGAAAGGAATCAGGTTTCACTTAAAGAAAGTTAAGTGGAAAAGTTGAGACAATTAGACAGCTCTTGGTCATTTAAGAGGGGTTTTGCCAAGAAGAACAAGGGAGATCAAGAGGGAAAATGGCTGAGACGGGCACAGCATTTCATAGACAGGCATGAGCAGCCCAAAGACGACAGCTGACTGGGGCAGATATTTGTCTTTTGGTAATTAAGTGCTGTCAGAAAGACTACGGAAAAGTCAGGAACTCAAACGACAGAGGTGGCCAGGAGTGTAAGAAACCAAGTCCAGAGTTCCAACTGGGGAATATGTGAGACGGTCTTTCAACAAAATGTACCTAGAGGAGGTAGTATGTGCAATAACTGGCCCTGATTTTACTATCAAAACCCTGGTAACACTTACTATTTAACATTGACTGTATCATGTGTTTTTCTATACTCAGAGTGATTTAGTATTTATAGAAGAGTGGTAATGCTCTCAGATTAACAAAGATGATAGTCCAATGCTAACAGAAGTGGATCAGCATGGATTTGAAAAACAAGATATTCAGTAAGAATATAAAATTGTTTTCATAAATATTCTAAATCTCATTTTAAAGTTTTTTTTTAATCAAGTTGAATTTTGGTAGAAAACCAAATGAACTAGTTTGAGTTCTTTTTCAATAATTTACCTTGTCACCCTGTCCACACTCTAATCGAGGTGTTAATGAAGAGTGTAATGGCCAAAAAGCAGGCAGCAGGGGGGCAATGAGTTGAAAAGATAATATCAAACCTTTGAATAATTAGCATTTATATTTATAAATACACACATATTGAGAAACAAATTTGACTGGTGTGCACAGAACACAGCGCTAGTTTCTTGGGAATAAGAACCTTAGATAATTCATGGATATAGTCCCAACCCTAGACAAATTTATAATCTAACCAAACCAAAACACACACACACACACGAAATTGGCATCCCAGCACAGCTTCGAAAATACAGCAATAAGCACAAATGCATGAAAGCAAATGCAACAGATACACAGGAAATAAGAAGTAGGACATTAAAGACAGTGTAACTTTGAAAAGTGGTTAATTTACTTTCAGCGTGTATTTTACATACTGGGAAAGAAATCTTATCACTGAATACAAAGATATGTTTCTCATCTGCCAGTCTTTAAACTTAAATTAGAAAGGCAAAGAGAACATAAATGGACGCAGTAGATTAATTTAAAAAAGCAGTAAATCCAGGGGCCACGTAGAACAAAGTATGTACACACATATGCTACCGATCGTCCTTGTGCGTGCACATGTGTGAGTGTGTGCATGTATTTTCTTCTCTGAGTATTTCTTTACCTGTCTTTCTCCACATCCAAATTCTGAATTCTCTGTGAAAAAGTAATTTCATTTAGTTATATGTTCCCAGACCCTAATACTGGGCACATCTATCAACATATGGCAACCTACACATTGGAACTCTAGGAAATATGCAAAGATTACCATTATGTTTAATAAATGCAGACATCAAAGAATAAAAGAATACATCAACACACTAAGGAGGGCAGAAATATTGCTTTTTACAAAAGATACTTCCCAAAAAATCACTGTTAGTAAAAGCAAAAAGTCACTGCAAATATAACTTATTAAAATTATAAATGATTTTCATAAATATTTACCTTCCAGTCTGAGGATCAAATCCAAAGTAAAGGTCCTTACAATGGTCACAACCTTGCCCAGCAATGGAGGCATCTTGGCAAACGCACTGGCCAGTCAAGCTATCGCAGATGTGATTAACTGCACCAGCTGCATGGCAGGAGCATGGCAGGCAGCCAGTGGCACTGCCCGGAGAAATATAAAAACCTGGAAATAAAGAAATGAAAAGTTTCCATTATGCTTTCTATCCCGTCTTTTCTTAAACAGTAATATGTTGGTTACATCAAGAAACAGAGCTCTCTCACGCCACCACTTAACTCCCCGTATGAATGTGGCTGAGCTCTTTTTGACCAGCGAGTCAATTACGGCCAAAGAAAGACTGAGTGAATAACTGACGTTGTTCCTGGGTGTCATCCCGGCACTCACAATTCAATGCATGTAAAACCTCCTTCATGACCTTTCCACTAAAGACTGGTCCTCCTCTAATCATCTCCATTTCAGCAAACAGCATCACCATCTAGTATTCAGTTGCTCCACCTGGAACCCTGAGGTACCATTGCTAAGGCAGCCAGATAAAATACAGGATGCCCAGTTAAATTTGAATTCCTGATAAACAATGATTAAAAAAAATAAAACTTAGACTGGGATTTTAAAATTGTAGAATACATAAACAAGATTACACTGTATAGCACAGGGAAATATACACAAAATGTTATGATAACTCACAGAAAAAAATGTGACAATGAGTGTGTATATGTCCATGAATGACTGAAAAATTGTGCTGAACACTAGAATTTGACACAACATTGTAAAATGATTATAAATCAATAAAAAATGTTAAAACTATGTCCCATGTGCTACTTGCTTATAATAAAAAAATTGTTGTCTGAAATTCAAATGTAACTGAGCATCCTGTATTCTGCTAACACTGGCAACACTTGATTCCGTCACTTCCTTCTGCCCCTACGTCTAGCTAATTACTAAATCCTTTGAATACTGTCTTCTAAGAATCTTACATCCTCTACTCTCCATTCCCATTGCCTCCTCCCTAGTTAAAGTCACTACCAAGGTTTTATAATTAACATTATGTACCAGAGGCTGTGGTAAAGCTTTACATTCATCATCTCATTTAGTTCTCATGGTAATGCTAGTAATTCAGACATTATATAATGTTCATTACATGAACTAGAAAACTGAAGGCTTCAGGTTAACTCCTAAAATGACGGAGTTAACACAGAGCAGAACCCAGATTCCAACCCAGGCATCTCAACAACCTCAGAGACTTTCTTAGCCACTGGTGTCCCTCTTGTCCCCGTCCAATCTGCTCTTCATAGTGTAGCTGGTCTTTTTCAGAGTATAGTTTAAACATCTCATTCTTCTATTTGAAATTATTTGATAACTTCCTATTCCCTTTAGGGAAAAAAAAATCCACAGCATAGCCTCTAACCCTCTGGTCCAGTCCCACTTTCCTCTCTAGCTTCACTTCAGTGCTCATCCCCAGTCTGCCCCAGTCAGACTTTCTGTTCTTGACACCTAAAGGCCTTTTCATGGGAAGTTTTGTCTGCTGACATGATTTTGACCCACCTTTTCCACTTAGCTCACTCCTATGCACACCAGGTCTTATGGCTTCCTCCAGTAACTTACTCTAGGCTAGTTTAGTGACATTATTAATTTCAAAGCACCCTCCTTATTTCCTACAGAGTGCTGATAAAAATTGTAATTAATCTCATTTCCAGCAGATTGTAACCTCAGTGATGGCAGGAACCTCATCAGATTAATCCATCATTGTCTCCTCAGAACCCAGTATAGTGCTTGTCACAAAATAGGCACTCGAACATTTGAATTCAAAGACTGCACCAAATTATTAGGTAGGCATTGATCCCCACAAGTATTATATTAGAAAAAAACAGAACTTAAATTATAAGACCCATATTTTTTTCTTATAGTAAAAGAAGAGAAATAAAAATATGATTCAAAAATATTTTCAAGTTACTTAGAGTTTCTTGGACCCAGAAGGTGGAAGTCAACAGTTTAGAAAGTAGAAATACATTGGACATTTGAATGGAGCAGGCACATGTGGGAGAAATGGTTCTTGATGTTATGTGATGTGTGCTTGTGCATGTATATGTATTTATACATACATAGGTACATACCAGTATTTACACACATACAAGCACGTGCATAATGTTACAAGAAATTTTATTGAGACAATGAATAAAGTTCTGGCAAATGAAAATAAACTGTACAATTATGATCACTAATTTAGGTATATAAAACATCAGTCATATTGAAAGAGAGAAAGAGTATGAATACAAAGGGAATCATTCTGTGTGTTATCTATCCTTTAGGGGAGAAACAAAAAGTAATTGGATCACTGTAAAACTCATTTGAAGCTCTGGTTGAAAACAAGTCATTCTTTCATAGCCATCAACAATTAATTTGTTTTTCTTCTCCTAGGCAGTGTATATTCTCTCTTGAAAAGTGTCAGGAATTGTAAAATAGAAAAGGAAGAAGCTGAAAATCTGTGCCATTCAATTAGGGAGACCAAAGATTATCATTTTTAATAGTAATTTACAACTAGATTATGTCATTTGCTCTTTGCATCCACTGACAGCAATTTGCTTCAGATGTGTTTCCAGAAATAGAGTTTGGCCATGCCAATTATTCCATATTCTCATACCTGATTCATCATGAGATCAAAATCACAGATGTAGAAGCCTTCTGTTTTGGATTCAAGACCACTGTAGCTGTGAGTCTATGCACTTTCCTTCCTGTGAAGGGACCTAGATCCTTACATTCATGATTATGGCCTCATGAATGTACTAACAGCGCTCCAATTTGGATAAATTACCCATTAGCATAGATACTTAAAAGCAGAATTAATTTGGACTTACTGCAATAGCTTCGAGCCACAGAGAATTCTAGAACAATTAGGAATGATTTTTATAAGAAATGATTTATTAGATAAATCTGTAAAGATCAGGAGCGTAGATTTTGGTGCAGAAGATTGGATTGCCAAGTTTTGGAGAATAAAGAAGGCCACAGAAAAATCAGACATACAAGCAGAGAGCAAGAAGGAAGGTATTAAAGCACCCAGGGAGGCTGCAACTTGGAGGTAGGGCCTCAAGGAAAAGACTAAACTGGAAGTTGTCTTGGGGTTAATTCCACTCCTCCTCTCAAGAGCATGGTTATAAAGGTTAATCCCACAATCATTTGAGTTGTCCTATTTTTAAACAGCTCTAATTAGGATGACTCAGGTGCCTTCCTGCTCAACGATTACTTCTTGCCTTACCTGAATGTGCCTAATTCTAGACCATTACCTCTCCTTTTATGACTTCCAACTATGGAAAACATGTTCTCTTCCTTCCTACTTAAATTTCAACTCCTGAGAGCAGCTGAAAGATAACTGACCTTAATTTCTTTCTTTTTTTTTAATTCAATAGATTTCTCTGATCTCTCTCCATTAGCCCCACTTCACATTCCACATCTGCATATCTGCTTTATTATAACTGATCTTTCGGAGCTTTCTTCGCTGAGTGATCCTGGACCACATTCTGAAGCAGTGTCATTAGGAGAACAGTATCACCTCCCACTACGCAGTGCTGAGAGTTAGCACAAAGCACAAATCAGCCCACTCAAGTTTATTCTTTTCTCCAGTTTCCTTTCAGCTAACTCTTGGTCCCAAACAAGACAAGTCTCATGTGGGAAACAATGCGTTATAGAGCTAAAGCAAAAAGTCACCCGTATCATAAAAGAGTATTGCTTTATCCAGGAGAAGGCTTACAGAGTCCTGAGAGTTCAAAGCTATTAGCCAGCAGCTGGCGTTCTCTCCTGTCGTGGCTATTTGCACAGCACAGTACCCGTCCTGGGCATAAAGGAGAGCCCATTCCCTGGCAATGTCCCTCCCGAGGCCTATCAACAACTAGGCTTTGCTTGGGTCTGGAAATGGGAGAAAGAAAACAAGTTTAACCTCCAGGCCTTACTCAGAAAAGGAGGGCAGAGTGGTGGCTAAGCACTAATTATGAGCCATTTAGAAGAAACAGTTCTCATCTCAAACCAGAGAACGGACACCATACTAAGAGAAGTCCAGGGAGGAATCTGGGGCTCACCTGCACCAGGCAACAGAAGACCATTTTAGTAAGTGTCACAAATCAGTATTTCAGACTGTAGTAGATGATGCCAATTTTCAAATTAGGATGATAATAATCTTCCTCCAGTTACTGGTTTTATAT